TCATTTTGCTTTGCATTTATTTCGTTGTTGTTGTTCTCCTTTGTAAGCCAAGCGTGATGCAAGCCTCTAAATGAATAGATAGATAAACAAAAAAAAAAAACCAGCAAGCAGAAGGTAAATGAATAAGTTGATGCTGTTATCTAATAAAAAAATGAGGTGAATTAAAAAAACTTCTAATTTTCAAAAATCACCCTAGCTTAAATTTCCCTCAATTAGAGTTAAGTCTTTCGAATATTCTGAGGAGTGTTGAAAGTTAGTGAGGAGAATGCTTTCTTCAATTTGGTTTTAAAAAGGCGGCTATAGCAGAATCCCAAAAGCATTAAAATTTGATCCATGAAAGTGAAATAGGATACTTACCAATTTAAATATTGCATTATTTTGATCCATCATTGCTTCATGAGAACAATGGGGTTCTCTGTAGATCTATTGATTTTATTGACGATCAACCTGTTACTCTTGAACAAGACCCATGGTGATCATTTGTATTAGTTAATCTTTAACTTTCTCTGAGTTTATCAACAGAAATAATCACATTGATAAATAATTTATAGTTTTTACTGGCTTAATATTTTAGGTGCAGCTCGTTTCACAGTACAGCGTGTTGCCCTAATTCCGGACGGTTTTGTAATAAATTGCGATATCTTTACTGAAAATTATCGTTACAATAAGATATTTTGCACGGACATAGATTTGTATGTATAAAATACTGTCACCAAGAATCTGGTCATTTCAATAATGATTTCAAGCGCTTTTGTAATCTTTTTCGAGGAAATCAAACTGCCCTTATTCCGGACAATGGGCCCTAATTCCGGACACAAAATAAAGCAGCTTTATTCTTTACAATTTTTGAATGTTTTGACCTAATTTTCAACCGATATGATAATGCTGTTAYTGTTTATTATTAATAGAATGCGAGAACTTGAAATTGGGTTACCTGTATTCCTGAAATAGACCATAATACAAATGATGTAATTTGATTGCTCTCGTCGATCGACTTGATTCCGCGGAGTTTTGTTTTCATTATGGTTAAAGTTCTCATAATTAATGCAGTGATAAAAGGATATCACGAGTTCAAGATTAAGCCCCCGATAGGAATGAGTCTCAAGGTCACGAAAGAATACGGGAACAAATACGATGAGCATGCATGTTTGGTTTGGATTCCCGAGCTAGAGACGATTCCACGGCACCTGTGGGACATAGTTACAGATGCGAAGCGCAACGAGACCATACAAACAATAGCAGGCCTTCCTATAGGCCGTGTCCCAAGAGGTCTATCGTCCTGCTTTTGGAAACTCTTGGAATCTGACGATATTGAGTGCATCAAATGGTTGGTATTATGTGAAATATTTCATTGCTTTCTTAGCGATTGAACTTTAATTGCTAGTTACAGTGCACGTGCCTGGCTAGACAGATTCATTGATTTCATTGCAAAATCGTTTGGTGGTTTTTATTTGATTATTAAGGAAGTTTTCAAATCCCGGTTTTCGAATCTCTCTTAATAAATGATTTCTGCAATTGTTTAACTCAAACTGAACTCAATATTTTCTAGCGAGCAGACGGATGTTCCTTGTCAAAGTTTCCCACCTTGGCCCCAGCCAATGGGATCGGGCGGAGGCGCAGTCATTCCCTGTAACTATCATGTGCAAGTTAAGCAAGGCTGTGACGCAAGTGGAGTCTTGTCGAAAATCAACGATGCCATACTGAATATGCCAGAAAGAAATGTATTACAAGTAAAGATAGTTTAAATGATTTTGTAATCGCTGACCAGTTTGTTTTCCGTTCTAATTGGAATGTACTGTATTACTAATTGTAAATTAGCATATTTCACCCTATGTTCACCTATTCAGTGTCACTACCATTTTCTGGATTTAGTGTTAAAAGCGCTTCTCTCCATATTTTTCCTTTGTTGCGACGCTTTCTTTGCACTGGCGTACTTGATTGACTTTCTGACCTCTTCCTTTTCTTGATCTCTTGTTCTTTCTTTCGAGCTTCTTTCCTTCCTTCCATTACCTTCTGCTTCTTTTGTTTGCTCTCAGCTTGTTTGCGTTTTCTCTCCTCTTTTTCTTTCTTTCGATTTTCTTCCATCTCTTTCCTTTCTTGTAATTTCTTTACTTTAGTTTCTGCTAATTTTCTTTTCTTCTCCTCTTGTTCTTTCTTTCGATTTTCTCTCATTTCTACCTTTTCTTTTAATTTCTGTTGCTTGACAGCAACTTCCCGAGCTTTCTTTAATTTTTCATCTCGTAAGATCGCCATTGATGCCTCGCTGTTCAAAAAATTTGGGATAGTTTTTTTCGCAGATTTTTTGCGCTCTTTGGTATTTCCTGTTGATGGTTGCGACGGGTAACTAAGAATTTCGTCGAAAGCCAAAGATGATTTATCAGAAAAATCATGTTGCATTGCTATTACTTCCATTGGTCTATCTTGTGGCTGGATGTTTTGAGGCTTTATTGGACCCGAAAGCGTGTATAGGGACTTCCACGCCTTGAAAGTGGGACTTCCTGGCAAATCGTAGCCTTCCTCGATGCGGCGTCTGTACTTTTCTTTAACTGGTGTTTTCAGATTGCTTTCAAAAGCCTCTAATGTGCTGTTTGATGGAACAGCCCTTTCTTCTGCATGTGCAGCTCCGGGGAATGGGGTTTCTTTAAAAGTACTCAATAAAGAGAGGGCCACATCTAATTGAGATTCTGTGTAAGGCTTTGCTTGCTGTGCGATATCTGAGGGTGGGGTCCTGGGTGTGTTCTGCTGCTGTTCGTAAACTGCTGAAGTTTTGACCTTGTCATTGGATATCTGCTCTCTCTTGATGGGATATATTCCTGACTTCTTGAAGGCATCTATTAAAAGAGATGGGCGCATCACTTCATCCCATGTATCCTTGAAAACATAACAAAAATTTCTTTTACTGATATCTGTATTCGGATTCTGCTGCGAGAACTTTCTCACATTTTTATACCATGACTGTTTCATCGCTCCAAAGACTCCAACATCGGCAGGTTGGTTTAGGTGGGTGGCATTTTTAAGCAGAGCATAGAGATAGACATGGTTTTTCTTTGCCAGTTCAAATGTCTCTAAATCAATGTGGCACTCAGCACTATCAAACAGAAGAACGACTGGCCTTGCAGGTGGTATATTAGGAATAAAATGGTTCGCTAGCCACATGTAAAATGTCTCTGCAGTCATATAGCCCTTTTCTGTGAGGGAAAAAACACTTCCTGGAACTCCACCCTCAAGGGGGTTATAATTGTTGGGAGCTCGCTTTCCAGCATAGAGAATGTAAGGTGGAATACACTGGCCGATGGCATTAAAACACGGCAAAACAGTGATGTGCTCTTTTGTACCAGTTACCACTCTGTATGGCTGATCTTTATCTTCAGACGGCCCCATGACTTTTCCTGCTCTCCCCTGCAGATCAAACCCAGTTTCATCGCAGTTCCATATTTGGCAAGGGCGGTTTGAAAGACCAACTTGATGCATAAACTTTTCGTAGTCCGCGAACCACTTGTCAAGATCACCAGGTGTGATTTTAGCCCGTTTTTTATCTAGAGGGCGCGCTGCCCTAAGCTTGACTTGAGGATTACGTTTTAAGAAACCTCGATACCACTTATTACCGGGCCTGTTTTGTTTAAAAATTGTCTTACGATCTGTTTTGGTGACAAATGATTTCACCGCATCCAGAAATTCTTCTTTTGACACACCGAAACCAAGACGCGACCGTTCTATTAGCCAGGCGGCGAAACGGCTTTCTTCTGCTGGGCTTAATATTTGTTTTCTACCTGCTTTACAATTTACCACTTTTCCTATAACTCTGTCATGAAGTGTTGATCTAGGAATACACCATTTTTTGGCAGCTTTTCTAACACTTAAACCTTGTAATATATCTTCGACGGCGTGAAATATATTATTGTTAGCCATTTCACAACCTAATTAAAAAATACGCGTGTATGAATAAATTGTTTATCATTGCTGTTGTAACATTTTTGGTAATATTACTAGCATGAGAACAACTACGCTTTGAAAACCATAAAAAAACAACTGAAATTATAAATTTGACCAAGATAATCAGCGCAAATCAGGCAAGCTAAGTACAATATGTTCATAGTGAATACGTTCGTCCGGAATTAGGAACACTTCATTGAATTTTAAGAGCATCTTTGTATAATTCTCCTACACTTACTAGAAACCCTTGAACGTTTTCCTACCACCTCCGTGTAACACAGTGGTTTTACTTTAAATCCTACTAGAAACTTATGTTTTAGGACTTCAATTTGCAAAGAAAGCGCACTTTCAACGTCGACCTCTAATTCGAAGCACGTTAAAAACGAGTATTTTGAAAAACAGAATATTTACCTACTTTTATGGAATATTCGATTTTCCCGCTCGAAAAAGCCACAGGAAACCCACAATTTGTGTCACACAAGGAAACTCATAAATACTTAACTCCGTAGCGTCACTTTATCTAATTACAATATTCGTGGGTTTTCTTTAAGTTTTAAAGGAAAAGTGTCCGAGATTAGGGACTGTCCGGAATTAGGGCAACACACTGTAGTTCCACCAAGTGTTTTGTATGTGTCTGTAGGAGAAGCAGCTAAGCTCGTGTGGGATTACAGTGTGGATGATAGGGATATAGAGTTTCATGTTTCTTCACCAAGGTGGATGTTTTATGATGGCAATGGCAGTGCATTTCAAATCGCACAAGAAAATATATACGACAAGTGGAAATGGTACATAAACCCCAATACATGTCCTGCTAGACTACTGAACCCTGTTCGAGTGAGTAAAGAATCAACTGCTACACTAGTAATCCATAATGTAACTCTGGCTGATAGTGGTACGTATGGATGTAGTCTGGTGCTGGCAACAAGAAGCCCCATAACAAGTAAAGTCAAGCTCGTCGTAACATGTGGGTATAATTCTTTCAATTTGTTGGAATTATTGTTCTTGTTTCTATTAAATTATCTTCTTGTTTGCTTTAGTTTTTGTTTTTCCAAATTTTGAGATATCTTTCGTGCGTATGTTCTTTTTTATTAAGGTAAGGATATTGTTTTCCCATTAACATTTATTCAACCATGCATAATCAGACTCGAACTGATAAGTACAATCTTAATCTTAAAATATTGAAATTAATCGTTCTTTCGTTCTTTCGTTCTTTCGTTCTTTCGTTCTTTCGTTCTTTCGTTCTTTCGTTAGAGTGTATACCAAATGTCCTTTGCAGTTTCAACTTTGCACTAGCATGTACAATTTACATTTTTCCATGGATATATGGTATGCATTCTAATGGTAATGTTCAAATCAATTCATTTGTTTTTTTTAGTTGTTTGTTGTATTTGTAAGGGAGACGACAGATATGTACTTACATGTGGCTGCTATTTTCTTATTTACATCATTTCCGTCTTTATCGATCAATCCGTCATTTTCAAACATACCTGTAAACGAATCCCAAGAACTGCATATCAAATGTTCTGCGGTAGGAACTCCTATGCCAAACGTCACGTGGCAAAAAGTACAGGGTGATGTTATTAATCAAAGCGTAGGAAATGTGACAATCGATATTACAAATATTACTAGATATGAAAGTGGGGAATACGAATGCTGTGCTATTAACAACCTAAACAAACCTCCATTTTGTAAGAGTATCTTGGTAACCGTCCAGTGTGAGTCTAACTGCTTTTTCATAGATATATCAATATATGTTGTTATGTTTTTATGGTGGGGTGATGGGGCGCTTCAAGGTTTGTAACAAATCAAAATGATCACAATCAAGATCATTGAAACAGTGCAAGCTGAAAATATATAATTCACTCTCTTCACAGATGAGCCGCAAATAGATGTATTTCAGTCAAATGACACAGTTTCTTCATATAATGGTGGTAAAATCAGGATATACTGTTTGGCCCATGGCGTGCCCTCTCCTCTGTTCACGTGGTATGATCCCCATAATCGATCAATTGCCACAGGATCTCATACTGTTACTGGTGTTAGTGTCTTGGAACTAGTAACCATTAATGCAGGCAGCTATGGGTTGTACAAATGTAAAGCAGAAAATTTGCTTGGTTATGATGAACACATTATCAATGTCACCCAGACAGGTTTGAAGAACAATGATATATTATTAACATTAGACGGTTAAGGAAAAATAGATGGAT